ATTATTAAATGATGCAGTTTCTGCTTTTATAGCATATATAGATATAAGATATGTAGCATGTATAGATGGGAAAGTGTTAAAGTGTTGGATGCTGTACAAGGATTGAAGTGTAAATGATTCAGTGTATTTTGATCACACATGTCAAATCTTATTCCTTGACCCTGGGGAGAAGTTATTTTTATAAGGTGAACCAGCATATGTTTTGTTTTGCGTGGACTTTTGCCAGGGGAATATACATTGGAGAAGACTGATACTGAAGTGCAAAATGTCTTGCATGTAGTTCTGTAAAGAAGTAAAAAGAACATGAAGCACTTTGATCACTGTATATTAGACTTTTGAGCTTCTGATTGGATGTTAGAGCTACCCATTAGACTACAGACTTGAGCCCTTGCAGTTCCTATATTCCTAATTTTTTAATATTATAACTTTTGTGATAAGCATTGGAAGAAAAAAAAAATATTTAAATATACTTAACATGTAGGTCATATATTTACTGTATCTATAAATAGGTACTGATTTATTTTTGCTCCAAACTTGTCAGCATGTAAGCTATTGAAGTACATAATAAAACAAAATACAGGACCCTGTATTTCTTTTGAGCTGATGATATTTGTGATTTTTTGAAAATGTATTCAGAATGATGATGGTAAAAGTGAAATTGCAAAAGATTTCACAGCTTGTGAAACAAAGGTAATACATTAACTGTAGGTTTTAAGGTTTGTTGGTGACCAATATGACTTTTTTGGATTAGATTGACTCTTGTTGGAATAAATTATTTATAAAATCTTTATTTATGGGAAGTAAACTTCAAAAATGCTGATTTGTTGTATGTGACATCCAGCAAAGGGTCATTCCTTGTGTAGTTTTTAGCTCACCTCAACGAAGTTGGGGGAGCTTATGTAATACCCTTGGCGTCGGCGTCCCAGGTTAAGGTTTTTGGAGCAGTTTTCTTTTCAAGTACTTCTATGGCCTATATTAGTCAGAGATGCATGGAGGATGCATCTAGTGTGTTTTATTGTACCAGTCAAGGTTTCAGATGCTGCAATTTCAGCTAAAGAATGACCAGGTTGATGTTTTTGGAGCAGGTTAAAGTTTTTGGAGCAGGTCTCATTTCCAAGTAACTATAAGCCCTATATTGACCAAACTTGCATGGATGATACATATAAGGATGCACACTACTGAACTTGCTTCGGATGCTGGTTCTGACCTACATTTTCCGGATGAGTGACTAGGTTAAAGTTTTTGGAGTAGATCTCATTTCCAAGTAACTATAAGCCCTATATTGACCAAACTTGCATGGATGATACATCTAAGGATTCACACTACTGGACTTGCTTCGGATGCTGGATCTGACCTATATTTTCTGGATGAGTGACCAGGTTAAGGTTTTTGGAGCAGATCTCATTTCCAAGTAACTACAAGCCCTATACTGACCAAACTTGCATGGATGATACATCTAAGGATGCACACTACTGGACTTGCTTCAGATGCTGAATCTGACCTATATTTTATGGATGAGTGACCAGGTTAAAGTTTTTGGAGCAGATGTCATTTCCAAGTATCTATATACCCTATATTGACTAAACTTGCATGGATGATACATCTGAGGATGTACACTACTGGACTTGCTTCAGATGCTGGATCTGAGCTATATTTTCTGGATGAGTAACCAGGTTAAAGTTTTTGGAGCAGATCTCATTTCCAAGTAACTATGAGCCCTATATTGACTAAACTTGCATGGATGATACATCTGAGGATGCACACTACTGGACTTGCTTCGGATGCTGGATCTGACCTAAATTTTTGGGATGAGTGACCAGGTTAAAGTTTTTGGAGCAGATGTCATTTCCAAGTAACTATAAAACCCTATATTGACCAAACTTGCATGGATGATACATCTAAGGATTCACACTACTGGACTTGCTTCGGATGTTGGATCTGACCTACATTTTCCGGATGAGTAACCAGGTTAAGGTTTTTGGAGCAGATCTCATTTCCAAGTAACTATAAGGCCTATCTGAACCAAACTTGCATGGATGATGCATCAAGGGACTAACAATCTCAAAACTTGCTTCGGATGCTGGATTTGACTTACATTTTCTGGATGAGTGACTAGTTTTAAGTTTTCAGATAAGTCTATTCCCAAGTAACTGCAAGCCCTATCAGACCAAAATTGCATAAATGTTGCATCTAGGGATGCACACTCCTAGATTATTAGTTTAGTGTGGGACTTTGCCTTACTTAAAGACAACATTCGTTGAGGTGAGCTCTGTAATCTCTGATTACCTATGTTTCTTAATGTTTTTGAATGATCAGTCCTTCAAACTTTAGATCAGATTTTTTTTGAAAGGAAACTGTATGCTTGTCTTTATTGTATAATCTGGTGATCTTTTAAGTGAAGAAGGAAGTTAGTTGTGGTATTTGTTCTTGTGGTAATTTCTCTATAAAGAGAAGAATAGATATTTACCTGTATGCCTGTTATTATGTGACATGTTCACAAATCTGTTTTCATTTTGTTGGAGGTGAGTTGCTTACATATGCATGACATTTCAACAACCCTTCAACCATATTGCAGGTAATGACACCTCCAAAAATAATTCAGACCATAGAATTAAAAACATTCATTATTAAATAAATGCTTATGGGTCAGATAATCAATCTAAACCCTATTATATTAAAATGGCTGTTGAAAAAGAATCATGTGTTAATTTAAACAATGGTCATATTCTGAAAGGTTTTCTGGTGTACACGAAAACAGCTAATAGATGTCACATGGATGAGCATTATTCTCTGGCATGTCACATATACATGTATAACAACAGCTTCTGTATCATCATCCAAAAAAAAAAATCCTGCATGTACCTGAAAAATGTGAGCAAAATTTGAATCAGAAGTTATCAAAATACTACAGGTCTACTCTTATATTTATTTTAAAAATGTGTACAAGCTGATCAAAAAGTGTTTGAGGTACACACATAAAAATATCCTGATATATAAATTATATACATGTATATCTTTATATCCCTTTTCAAGCAGTCATTTAAATAAGACGTGTATGTGATGGCAATATTTTGTGCTATTATGTGAATTTATTCCAAATTTTTTTTTCCAAGTAAGTGATAAATTGTTTTTGGTGATGAAATCATTTCTCATCAAGCTAACCATATGTTTATATTGTATTGCAGTTAGTATGTGATTCATTCTGATTCTGTGGAGGTCTATATATATTTACCTTTGATATTGTAAAGTACTTTATTTTTTGACATTTAACTTATTCATCTTTGATTTAGATTTCTTTTTGTATGGAAATTTTAGATGAGTCTATAATAAAAGATGAATAGCAAGGAAGGACAACTCCACAGAGTTTATACATGAATTTATTACAGAAGATAAAGCAATAAATAATGAATATGTGAAGCATTCAGGGTCAAATCTAGATGGATGATGGTACTTGCGGGGGGGGGGGGGGGGGGGCTCTCAGGCCCTTCCTCCTCTGGAATTTCAGAGTTATTTAACTTCTGTATAAAACTAACAAAAAAATAATCTTGAACCCCCTTCCCTCCAGGAAACATGGATCCCTCTTAAAACGATGAAAAAGTCATGTATTTGAAAAAAATTGACTTATAAGAAAGTGTCTCCTCCATGCCCCCCCCTTTCTCTCTCTCTCTCCCCCCCCCCCCCAACACACACACACAAAATAGGTTTTTCAGGTTGGGGCAAGTTTAGGTTTTCCCCCTTCCCTGAAAAAAAAATCCTGGATCCATTCCTGAAGCATCTAGATCTAGAGGAAATGCACTTTCAACATGTATTTTAATAAGGAATAATATTTTAATACATGTAACTTTCGTTTTGTTGCATGAATAATTAATTTTTCATGGGAGAGGCATGGAAACATTTCACCAAGTACAAATTTTAAAATTTTGGAAAGAGGAATAAAAGTATTTTAAAAAAATATCACAACATCAGAGAAATTTAATTTTGTCAAGTGTCGTGAGATCATATCAGACCCAGAGAAATTGTGTTCGTGAAGATTGATTATAAACCCATTCATGTACTGGTATCTTCAAATGTATTTAACATATACATAGCAAATATATTCAAATTGAAATATAGACTTGCTGAATAATAATCAAAGGTTTCTGAATGGCAGTACTGTCAATTAAACCTCATTATCTCAAACTGTGGGGGACCAAAGGTTAGAGATATCTCGGGTAAAATACATAGAGAAAAAGAGGTTGGGACCTGCAAATGACTTCAATATATCCATTATATTTGAGATATCAGTGTTCAAGATACCAAAGTTCAACTGTAAAAAAAAAAAAAAGTATGTTCAAAAGGAATATATAATCACTAAATGTATAGACTCATTTTGATAGATAACAAAAGGTGTTATGAAAAAAGAAATAAAATCCACAATACAGAAAACAGAACAACAATACTCAGTGGACATGGCTGGTTATTATCTTGTAGAAATTTTGTTTGAGGGATGAAGTAGAACTATTATGCAGATCCATATGATATTCTGTTTGTTGTACTAAGACCTCTGCTGTAATCAGTAGAGGAGAAAAAACGAGGCCCCCCCAAAAAATCAATAGTTAGGGAGATGAGAAAAATCAAACTTCAAGTGTGTGGGTAGGCAGTCATCTCAATAGGCACACATCTAATCACATCAGGGGCCCTGTAGATGTAAACTCCTGTCACTGATGAAGAGAAGACTGTTTATTCAGCAGCCTGCTTTCAGAGGTCTTTGCACTTGATACAAGGAATTTTAAGTAGCCTCTTTCTTACTTGTTGCTCCTTAGTTTTCATTCTTCAAGATGGGAGTGCTTCCGTTTTCTGTATTTTCCTCTTCTGTTAAAAGTATAGATTTTACTTATTTTAACTTTTGTTTGGACTGAATTGTGAAAGCTCAAGAACATATGGAAAATGTGCTTATAGATCCCACTAGCAGACCAGATAAAAACTAGAGAGTCTAAGGAGAAAACCCACTAATCAATAAGCAGGATGATAGGTATTTAATTTTACAACAGGATAACCCCCTAATCATTCAGAAAAAGAAGTGTTATCTGAAAATACTCTGTAACAGCCCTACTGATCTATTTTCCTTCTCCCAGGAATTAAAAGTGTGTCAGTATTTTTTCGGCAGGGAATATTGAACAGACTTGAACAGCGGCTTGAGAGAATTTATTTTCTGTGAGTTCCGAGGATCAATTGGGGAATTAGTTCCGTCTTTTTCCCCTCATTGATCTGTGATGTTTCATTATTTTTTTCTTCAAAAAGAGGATTTCTTCATAAATTGCTCCACATGAAATGTTGTTTTCATGCCCTATGGAGGTCTCAGGTGTATGAGAATATGAAAGAAGAAAGGTAGGGATAGAAATGTAAATGAGATCTATGCAGGAAGTGATTAAAAGTATATAGGTAATTGATCAGGGTTACTTTGTAAAATCATTCACTTGTTGCAAAATATTTTTAAAAGAAATAAACTCAGTAATGTAGTTAACGTAAGTTGACTGGGCTGAATGATTTGCATGAAAATCTGAATTTATGAATGAAAATAATTGAATCATAAATTAAATCATATGTAAGCAGGAACTGTTATGTTATATCTGTTATAAATTTGTATGCTTATGCTAAACATTTGATGCAGAACACTGCCAGAGGTACCCTATGATACTAAATTTTGTAGATGTTGTCAGTCACTTTAAGTATAAATTTTAACATGACAGAAGGGAAAAAAGTTTTCAAGACCCTACGGTTCTAAATCGGGTAGTTTGGAAACAGCTACCTTACACGTTTCTCTGCAAGGTGATATTATGGTCCTTAAGTTCTTGCTTAACTACCACTAAGAGTTTCTTGAATTGCATGATTCACACATTGGATAAAATCAGATAAACTGTTGAAATTAGATCTTCGAAAAAAAAACAAAACACAATTCTATTTCTGGAAGCACTTGCTTTTGTAGGGAGATGAAAAGCATATAAATTTACCTCCAGTATGTGGGTTATCATTAATTTAAGATGTGTAGCTTAATCTAAATCAAAAGATGCTTTTTCAACATTTTAAACATTACAATTGTGTGATACTATAAATATTTAGTGTGTACTCTTCCCCAGATAAGAACTAGATAGATTGTCTATTGTGATCATGTACAAAAGACATAATTACATGAACATCCAAACACACACTCAGACAGGAAATTGGTAATGTCGTTTTGCCCATGAGATTTACACGCTGTAATGTTATTGGTCAGTGAGAAGATTAGCTATTCTATTATTTTTGTTCTGTTTTCGTGACAAATCCGTGATTTCTAAATATACATTTTCAAGGCTTTGGTTTAGACCTATAATTGCATTGACATGTAATTTGTAAATATGCCAGGTGCATTGCATACTTGAGAAATACAATAGGTGGAAATTGAATGGAAGGCAGTACTTACATTGTGTAATGAAGATCAGCTTTCAAAACAAATCATTTTGAGGTTGGGATTAAGTTACATAATATAGAGTAATAATACTGAAAAAGAAGTGGATGCATGCTTGCTTAGCATATCATATCGAGGTGTTTTAGAAACTTTATAATCTCCATGATCTCATATACAAAAAAAAAAAAAAGAAGAAGTACAAATCAGGCATGTCTATTTTGAATGGTATGCAAGTTTGGAACCATTTGTTCAGGTATAGGTATTAAATTGGTTTAATTTAGATAGGCATACCTATATTGAAGGATGGGGAAATAACACCCTGATACATATTAATCAATCTTTCATCATCAGCGGAATATGTTAAGTGTTAGTACATCTCACTGAAGAAAGTGTGTTGTAAAATTTGACTTCTAGACTGTGTATTAATTGTACCATTCATAGGGGTGCTGTGAGAATTTTCTTGTATCATTGCTGACAATAGTAAAATGATTGTTATAAATGTATTCAAACTATTTTACATGTAAAATACACCACTGAAAAGCTTGTAAGGAATGCAAACACAGGAAAGCATTTGAAGTTGTATAAATTTCTAATTTTAATGTCTTGGAATTCAAGTGTTCCTGTGAAGCACTTTGAAGCTAATATACATCTCTGCATTCATATGTGTGCATGAAGATTGAGTCATAAACTGTCAATCAAAAGAATATTGCATAAGGAACAGATGCAGTTCTGCTGATTCAGAGTCTTGTCTTTTGTAAAAGTGTATGCATATGAATAAAATGGATCTGTTTTATATGATTTGTTCGGTTTTCAGGGCCGAGCACAAGCGAGCAGAACCAGAATATGAGGAGGAGGAGGAGGAAATCTTGGGCTCAGACGACGATGAACAGGAGGATCCCGAGGATTACCAGAAAGGTACCACTGTTAATGGAACCATTGCTTCCACTCAGAAAACCATTTTTTTTTGTACGAATTGGTGTAATTATTACCATATTGTGGTAGGTGTTGTACTGGGCACTTTTTTTCAGGATTTTTTTTTTTAACGCAAAAAGTCGGAGGTACTAACTACTAAATGCTTCAGATACATAAGAAGATGATAACATTTTATAACTTGTGCCAATGAAATATACAAAATAATAGCTTAACAAAACAAAGCCTGATTGTATAAGTTACACTCTGAGTGTTTCTCAATTGATGTCAATGTTAAAACAAGTCTTATAGGATTCTGGTGCTTTTTCCTATCATAACATATAATTAAGAAATAAATAACAAGTTTAAAAACTTCAATGGGAATTGAAGTGGGTCGGTCACATGATCAAATCCTGTGAAGGCCGAAGGCCTTCTCAGAAGATTTGATCACGTACCGACCCACTTCAATTCCCATTGAAGTTTTTAAACTTGTTATTTATTACTTATATATACATTTGAGACGGACAGTCGAATGTAATTGAATATAAATATTGCACTAACTGTACATCGTAGATTTTGACAAATTACGCTAGGTGTAAATCGGCTTGAAAAGTGGTTACGCTTCAAATTCATCTGGCAAAGGATTCTGTTTTGAAGGGAATATTCTGTGAAAGGCTACTTGTGATCAATTATAGTGAGCATATTGGTGTCTGGGAATTTTTGTATTCTTGAGAACCCATATTCGATGTTAAAAAACACAAGAAACACGTCCAATGTTTGATAATAAAAAATTGGAGGAATTTCGGTCAGAAAGGGATGGATGGAGACACTTGTCCGGACCAGATAACTTGAAATCAAGTATAAAATTTGATCAAAAACATAAAATCTACGATTTCAGTCAGGCATATTTATTAATTAATGATGTTGACATGGAGACACTTGCGACAGCTTACATTGTTAAGACAATGTCACAACGATCTCGATGATGGAGGTGTGCCTAACGAACTTCCAAAGTGCAGTGTTTGTCAGCTGTTTGTGGCGTGATTGCATTACATTGTTGTTTTTCAACAGATTTTCAAATTTATTGTGAGTAAAGTTTAATGAAAAAAAATTATAGCATTCAGAGGTCTGCGAGAAAAATAAGGGTAACGTTAAATGTTGAGACTATGCAGCTCAGACATGAAACTTATAACACGTAGTTTTCTATTCTGTATGTAAAATCGATCAAGAACTGTATTAAATACTCGTTTACATTGTAAATAAAATGATTATTATTTTACTTGCGTATTTTGTACATTTTTATGCATGAAAAACATGCTAATTATATTGCTAAGTAAGTCTTCTTATGTAGATATTACTGCGCTGTGTGATTAGGTCACGTAATGACCTATGACCTTCGTAAAACTTCATACAGGTCTGAAGATATTTGCTCTCTGCATGTTTATATAATAGAGAGATACCACAAATGTATATATTTTCAAATAACTCACCATGCTCATGGTGAATGAAAAAAGATTTGTCAAAAACAAATATTGTGATAAACAATGACATTTCTTGATTACATTTAATCTAATTTATGGGGTGCACACACTAAATATAGGATTTTCTTGCTCCTAAGAGGTGAAATCAGGGAAGTTTTGTTCTGTGGAAGCAATGACAGTGATTCTTAGGATGAAACTTATAATGATATGTTTTTGTATTTGGTTAGAAAAGGTAGGGCAAGTCTGTATTAAATTAAAAGCAGTTGTTTACTGTGACATACATCTTGACAAAAGATGCACTCTACCTGTCTGTAAACCTAAGACAACAGACGGAAGGTAGACAGTGAGTTGTTCTGAGGATTTAGCATGACAGATGTCCTGGACACTAACAGCAGACCATACATCAAATACTACTGACATTTAGGTGATTGAATCCCTGCAGATCAATTGCCCAATCATCACCTCAATGATAGAATCATACAAGTTATCTCTTCTACATACACTGGTGTACTGGCAGCTGATAAAGTGATTCATTGGCAATCATCAGACATTTGTGTGTTTGATATATCCAGTGTTTCCTGGTTACATTATCATTAAATTTTGAGAAATTGAAATATATATATATACATATGGATGCTTTAGAAGTGGGATGATGGGCTCTCAGCTAAAATAGCCAATTTGGCACTGGTTTTAGAATCTGATCAGTTCAAGGGAAAAAAAAATAGCAATCTAGAAACTTGTAATGAATTTTTATCCCAGACCAAGGTAATCAGGATTATGACATAATAAGGGATTTAAGCAAAAATGACAGTTTCATATGTTTTCTTATATTATTACAAGTATGATATTGTGTAATATATGCAATATTTAAAGGGCACTGCTAGCATAGTCAGACATTATGAAAGTTAACACTTACTACATGTATTAAAAAAAGTCACATAAGTATTGTGTACAAATCTGAAATTAGAACATAAAATTTAAAAAGTGTAAAAATATTGAAAATATGAATTTAAAAAAAAGGATTTGTTCAGTCATAAAAGATCTCAGCTAAGTTTCAGTTTATGTAAAATTCATTTTTCAAGATAAAATCATAAAACTAGTTTCAATGCAAATGATGAAACCAATTTTATTTAATTAATGTGAGATGTCCAAGGTTTCAAATGTATCATCAAACCCTCAAAAGCAAATTTACAGTGTTTAAAGGTATCATGAATTATAGAGTTGGAGGGAAACACAGAAATTGTTTTTGTCCTAAGACATGTCGAGCAAAGTTGTGTCCATGAACCTTATTTTTAGCAAAAAACCTCTTTATGGCTTAATGCATTATTGTCTTGTCAATAATAGGCCATAAAATAATGTGGTAGTTTTGACTGGATTGTCCATGTATATACATAATAGAGGAGAAGGGGACAAAAAAGGTGTCTTAGGGGTCAAAATGATAATCAGTGGTTAAGTTATGTGGGTTACACTTCACTCTATATTCTGACTTACCATGAGGAATACTGTGTTCTTGCTTGCTTGTTAAGAGAGAGGTGGAAAAAAACCAAACAGATTTTTGATTAGTGGAAAAATGGCAAGCGGTTACACTGAGGAATTTTTCTATAGCAGCATGCCTGAGAGAAATGATGACTTCCCTCCTCCTTATGGGGAATTCATATTCCGCCCCCCCACCAGGAGACCAATTGTGAAAACCTCAAAGAGCTTTAAAGATAAGAAACCTAAGAATAAGGGCAAAGGTCCCCCTTCCAGAATGTATGCCACTGTCAGGGATCCAAGAATTGTGCCTGGCAGGGATCCAAGGATTGCACCCGGACATTTATTGATACATCCAGACTTTATCACCCCTCAAAAGTTGATTCCAAAGATTGTACCTCCTCAACCAAAGCCAGTCAAGCCTGCAAGATCCAAGAGCTTTAATGACAACAAAAGAATGACAGAACAGAAACTGAAGACTGTTGATACATCTAGGACCTACAGATATCAGAGTTTCCCAGTTCCTGATAACTCTGAGGACCATGTTGTTCCAGGGTTTGCTGTACCTCATAAGGTACCTTACCATCCAAAGCAAAGGTTAGGCCTTCATGAAGGGCTGTTTCATCCACCACCCAATCTACGAGAACCTTCTTCACCATCCTCATATAATGTAGGAGGACAACAAGGCTTACTTTTTGGTAGGTCCTCAGGAAATATGGGATACAGTGGGATGTATGTGCCTTCTAATGAATTAGGTACCAGCTTAACTCTGACAGAACTGAACCACTCAGAAGATGAAGAAAACACTTTACCAGACCCAAAACCTCAGAAGAAGAAAAGCACAGTCAGGCAAATTCTAAGCAGTCTGTTTTCATCAAAGAAATCCAGTGCTCAGTCCCCTTCTAAAACTGAGAGGAAGAAGTGCAAAGATGAAAAAGCAAAACCTGTTGCAAAATCTTTGTCCTGTGAGATCACAAAAGAGGAGGACACTGAGGAGAAAAGTAGTGCAGCCAGTACCTCGTTAGAGGCTGAAGACTCCATTAAAACAAGTGGTAGAATGGGTAGATTAAGTGCAAAGATCATGCATCAGAATGAGAAACAGGATCAGATTATTCTGGAACTGAAGAAGAAAAACAGCTGCACTGGAAAAGATGACTTGGGAGGAGCAACAAAAGAGCATGAAGGCCAGTCAGAGATGACAGATGATAAAGGGGTTAAAATAAGAGGCACAGATCAGAGAGAATGTGATAATGGTGTTCAGAAGGTTGCTAGACAGTCTGACATTGTGGACAGTGGAAAAGCATCCAAAGAAAATGACACTGGGGAAAAGCTGAAGAAGTCCCACTCAGTACCAAGTGATCTGTTCAAAAAGAAAAGCAGGAAGTCTGAGAATGTGTCTGGAAATGACGTCTGTCATAAAACTGATGTGGAATTATCGAAGTCATTGGGAGAGTTCATTCGAATGAATCAACAGAAAAATGAGCCTGAGATGAATAACACAGAAGGGACAGTAAAAAATAAACAAAATGGTTCACCTGGTACTTAGCAGCCGGATTGATTGGAGAAATAAAGAGAAGTTATGGATGAAATTGGACCAGTAGAGAGAAGTTACAGATATGTTCATCATCTTGATGAATTTTTCATGACTGTCTCAAATATCTTTATTGGTTGGAATTTGATAGCATTTTCACCCTTAAATCAGATCTGGTTGTTATATCTGCTTTACGTTAAATCAATAATGTGCATACAAAAATACCTCATTCTGTATCATATTCATGTTATTTTGGGGATTGTCTTCACAACCAATACAAAGACTTATTATATACCTAACTGTTTTCACCCAGTTTTACTGTTGAATTTATGCAATCATGTGACGGTGTGATCCGACGTTCCGGATCACCACACTGTGGTTTTCCGAGTCCATATCACCCCTTTCTGAAACTGATGACGTAGTACACAGATAAATGATGTTTTTATTCTGGCGCATCAAAAAGTTCCTTGACAAAATGGTTTGTTTAATGGATAAAAGTTATGTAATTGATCCAAAAGTTT